AAGTTATTTTTCTATTCAACTTCCTTTTTTATTTAATTTCCAAATAGGTCGTTAAGGTATAGTGGTTTCTTGAATGAACTTCCTATTTTAATTTTCTGCAACTTCTATTTTTATTTCTGTTCAACTTCTTTTTTTATTAACGTTTCTTTTCTATTCAACTTCTTTTTTTATTTAATTTCCAAATAGATTGTTGTGGTATAGTGGTTTCGGGATTGAACTTCCATTTTTAATTTTATGCAACTTTCACTTTTAATTTTACTGAACTTCCATTTTTTTTGAATTTACTTTTCTATTAAACTTCCTTTTTTATTTAATTTCCAAATAGATCGTTAAGGTATAGTTGTTTCATGACTGAACATCCATTTTTAATTTTTAGCAACTTCTGTTTTTATTTCTATTCATCTTCTTTTTTTATTTCAGTTTCTTTTCTATTCAACGTCCTTCTTTATTTAATTTCTGAATAGATCGTTAAGGTATAGTCGCTTTAGGATTGAACTTCCATTTTTAATTTTATGCAACTTTCACTTTTATTTTTATTCAACTTCCATTTTTATTCAATTTACTTTTCTATTAAACTTCCTTTTTTATTTAATTTCCAAACAGCTCGTTAAGGTATAGTGGTTTGTTGAAGGAACTTCCAATTTTAATTTTCTGCAACTTCCATTTTTATTTGTATTTGACTTCTTTTTTTATTCAAGTTTCATTTCTACTCAACTTCCTTTTTTATTTAATTTCCAAACAGATCGTTAAGCTATAGTGGTTTCTGAATTGAACTTCCATTTTTAATTTTCTGTAACTTCCATTTTTATTTTTATTCAACTTCCATTTTTATTCAAGTTATTTTTCTATTCAACTTCCTTTTTTATTTAATTTCCAAATAGATCGTTAAGGTATAGTGGTTTCTTGAATGAACTTCCATTTTTAATTTTCTGCAACTTCCATTTTTATTTTTATTCAACTTCCATTCTTATTCAAGTCATTTTTCTATTCAATTTCCTTTTTTATTTAATTTCCAAATAGATCGTTAAGGTATAGTGGTTTCTTGAAGGAACTTCCAATTTAAATTTCTGCAACTTCCATTTTTATTTCTATTCATCTTCTTTTTTTTATTTCAGTTTCTTTTCTATTCAACTTCTTTTTTTATTTAATTTCTGAATATATCGTTATGGTATAGTGGTTTCAGGATTGAACCTCCATTTTTAATTTTATGCAACTTTCACTTTTATTTGTATTCAACTTCCATTTTCATTCAATTTACTTTTCTATTAAACTTCCTTTTTTATTTAATTTCCAAACAGATTGTTAAAGTATAGTGGTTTCTGGATTGAATTTCCATTTTTAATTTTCTGCAACTTCCATTTTTATTTTTATTCGACTTCCATTCTTATTCAAGTCATTTTTCTATTCAACAACCTTTTTTATTTAATTTCCAAATAGATCGTTAAGGTATAGTGGTTTCTTTACTGAACCTCCATTTTTAATTTTCTGCAACTTTCATTTTTTTTTTATCTAACTTCCTTTTTTTTTCAGGATTCTTTTCTGCTCAACTTCCTTTTTTTATATAATACCCAAATGGGTCGTTAAGGTATAGTGGTTTCTGGATTGAACTTCCATTTTTATTGAATTTACTTTTCTATTAAACTTCCTTTTTTATTTAATTTCCAAATAGATCGTTAAGGTATAGTGGTTTCTTTAATGAACTTCCATTTTTATTTTTATTCAACTTCCATTTTTATTCAAGTTATTTTTCTATTCAACTTCCTTTTTTATTTAATTTCCAAATAGGTCGTTAAGGTATAGTTGTTTCTTGAATGAACTTCCAATTTTAATTTTCTGCAACTTCCATTTTTATTTCTCTTCAACTACTTTTTTTTATTAAAGTTTCTTTTCTATTCAACTTCTTTTTTTAATTAATTTCCAAATAGATTGTTGTGGTATAGTGGTTTCGGGATTGAACTTCCATTTTTAATTTTATGCAACTTTCACTTTTATTTTTATTGAACTTCCATTTTTTTTGAATTTACTTTTCTATTAAACTTCCTTTTTTATTTAATTTCCAAATAGATCGTTAAGGTATAGTGGTTTCTTGACTGAACATCCATTTTAAATTTTCTGCAACTTCAATTTTTATTTCTATTCATCTTCTTTTTTTATTTCAGTTTCTTTTCTATTCAACGTCCTTTTTTATTTAATTTCTGAATAGATCGTTACGGTATAGTGGCTTCAGGATTGAACTTCCATTTTTAATTTTATGCAACTTTCACTTTTATTTTATTCAACTTCCATTTATATTCAATTTACTTTTCTATTAAACTTCCTTTTTTATTTAATTTCCAAACAGCTCGTTAAGGTATAGTGGTTTCTGGATGGAACTTCTTGTTCGTCACAAACTTCCTGGAGCTAAACTTCCTTTTTTATTTAATTTTATGCGCCCCAAACACGTCGGCATCACGCCTAAGCCTCAATGCCTTCTTGTTCGTCACCTACATATATATAGAGAGGGTGAGCTTGGATACTCAGTGAATGATACTGGAAATAAAGGTTTTGCATGATTGATATCCAAGATTTCTTTCAAAACAATACATAGCATACTTTACAATCAAGAGGGAAATCAAGTTCATTGCCGGCCTTTCAAGTTCTTTGGATGTTATTACATCTACTTAATACAAGAGGGTGATGACATTCCCAAGACAAGAGTGCAGTTGCATTATAGTCCCCTGCAACTAAGGACTTTCAAGACAAGCTATGCTGCGAAAGTTTATAGTCCTCTAGCACTAAGGACTGTCAAGACAAGCTGTGCTGCGAAAGATTGCTAGAGGACTCTAAACTTTACGCCTCCCTCTTATCTTGACAGTCCTTAGCCGCATTATAGTCCCCTGCAGCTAAGGACTTTCAAGACAAGAGTCATCAAAACAAGATAGTGTTTAATATACAAATAGGGATAGTCATTCATGCTAGATCAAGTACTTTTCCAAAACAAGGCAAGACGAGATTTATGAAAGCAAGTGTAACATAGCTTTATTAAAAATACCACTCACATAGTTCTTCACACGTCGGGGTCGAGACAAGCCCAAGTCCTACAAACACATGGCAAAGCCTATTGAATGCACTTCAAACAAGTTTCGTATGTACACAAATGATTTCGGAAAACATGCTGGGCACCAACCAGGTCTAGGCCGAGGTTCCACACCTTCTCGCTGAGGTGTGTTCCCAAGGGCCACATTTAAGGACAAGAGATCGGGGAACTCTGGGTTTCCCTCTGCTGATGAACATGGAAAACATGAGTGTGAAAACATGAAAAATATGAATGTTTGATCACAATCACCCACATAGTGAACAGTTCAAGCAGTGTGGGAGATTAGCTTATCTCCTTAGTCATTAATCAGGGAGGAATTCAATTCAAAACGCTATTATTAGAATAAGACCAATGGCTTATGCTTAATGGTTTAATCCTCTTTTGAGGGTTCATTACCAACGGCATAAAGTTTCCCTCATGCCTTGAACTACCTTTCTCGAAGAACACATGAATGTCATTTTCTCTTTCTAAAATCGAACTTCACAACGATGCATGGCTTACAAATCATTTCCGATCATGCAATGCAATAACATGAACATAGAGAACATCATGAGCAGATCAAGAATCTAACCTTAGAACACGGATCTAACGGTTCGATCTCTAGGAATCAAGCTTGAAGATCTACCTCCTCACTCTAAAACTCCTTCCTCCTCCTAGAGTTTCTCTCTCTACAAGGCAAGGTTGTGATACCAATTGATAGTTTTCTTTACCCGGTTCTGGGGTTAACCCTCTGCTGAGACACGTGCTCTACAAGACAAGGTTATGATACCAAATGATAGTTTTCTATTTCTGGGGTTAACCCTCTGCTGAGACACGTGGCGGCGACTGGTTGGGTTCTTCCTGAAAAGGTGGCTGACAGACCCGACAAAGCATGGTAGAAGGGTGTTCAACAAGCAAAGCGGTATGGGCTTTCTGACAGACCATGACATCGGCTAACAACAAGGCGTATCTAACACGCTATACGGAATGGCACTTCGGCAAGGGGGTGACAATGACCTCGGCTAGGAAGGACAACACTTGACTAAGCTGTGCCACATCTTGGCCTAGATGCGCCACACCTCGGTCTAGGTCATACCACTCCAGGACGAGTTCACTGGGGTGCAGGGTAACATCTCGGCTAATGGGTTCAAGGCAAGAACGGAGGTCAACAAGGGGTTCCAAGATACTACCACTAGACTAAGGATGACCTCGGCTCGGATTGATCTAGGCATAACGTCGGCTAAACATAACTTAGACAAGCACATAACACTTAGACAAGTCACAAAGGTATGAAATCAAGACATGGATCTCGCTTACTTAGGTAGGACAAGTCACGAAACACACATGCAAGCTTAACAAACCGTAATCATACAAATGCTCATGAACATGATTAAGATGAAAAATGTGGGTTCTTACAATTTCCAAATGCAATGTTTTGTGAGATATTTGCTGGTATTTAATACAGGCTCCTCCATCTAACTCAGGCTATTAAGGATGCTGGCATTGATGTAAATGGATTTTTGACTATTGGAGTGAGTGCTGCTCTACGACAGTTGCTGGAATTTGGGTTTTTTCATGGAGATCCACACCCTGGAAATATCTTTGCTATGCCTGATGGGCGTATTGCGTATGTGGACTTTGGGAATGTTGCTGTGCTGAGTCAGGTAATATTAGAAACAATTTATTCTCATCGAGTCACACCACATAATTTTGGATTAACCGTAGGCTCTCATTTTCTCTGAGAGCTTTGACATGTTAATTATAACCTTATTTTATTCGAGATTTATTCTAAAGGGATTATCAAACTAGAGTTTACTTAAATGTATTGATGTAGGACAAGATTTTAGGAATTTTTATATTTTTAGATTTAATATTTTTGGTAGTGGGCCATAATTAAAACAATTTCACATCTTGTCTTTTTTGCTAGACCATCTGGGACTCTTAGACCATCTGGGACTCTTAGATCATAAAAGGGTACAATGTTTTCTGATTCATCATAGCATGCTAACTTAAGAGCCCATGTCCTCTCCCCATACTTAATAATTCCAGCCACGAATGCCGGAATTAACATAAATGAAAACCAGAAATGCCTCCAAGACATAACAATGACATAAATTGCCACCGTAGCTTGAACACCCATGCCCAAAATATGCCTTATCCACAATTGATTATCATTCAAAGAATAAGCAGTTATGGTATCTGGGCCACCAAGATGCAATAAAAGCAAGGGTGCCCATAATGCCTGTAATGCATTATTGGGATTAGGAATATTATTTAGGGTACGGGAGAGCTTGCCAAGGGCAACAGTTGCCACCCAATCGGCCATTATGTAGGCCAACCAAACAATCACATTAATCCATTGTGACGATATATTCTTTCTCCGTTTACCAAAGACGAAAAGAATGATTTGTAAAGTAAGACTAAGTAGAACCAGCATCTGAACTTCCCACACATCCCATTGTATCTTCCACGATGCTGGAATCAGATTCATCACACCCTTCTCTTCTTTATTCACATGGAGAGAAAATTAAGTTACTATTAGTAAACATACGTGGATAAATTTAAATTGAGTATTGCTATTCAACTCAAAAAATTAGTCACTTTTGAAACTCATTCAAAGATGTGACACTCAATTACAATATCTAAGGTAATATTCTCTCTCATATATTCTCTAATCATCTACCAATTATCTCACTTACGTATCATTGAATCTAAAAAGTGGACTTGTATATCATTTTTCATATAAATTTTATATATATCACGTTAGCACATTATAATAGATAATGAATATTCAAAAAATTCCACAACACAACTCTTTTTTATTATTATATTATAACAATTCATGGTATCGATAGTACTACATAGTTAAAATCATTTGTATTTTTAAGCACAACACATTTATTTTTTTACGTGACAAAAAAATATGTACAGCACAGATATTTTTTGTTTTAATTTCTCTTTAGTTAACAAATGTGCTATAAATATTTTGATGCCTAAATGTTTTTTTTTAATTCTATAGATGCCACATGAATTGTTTAGTTGCAAAAATAAAAATAGAAAATTTTGAAATAAATATTTTTAAAACTTGAATTATACAAGACTAATTTCATATTTGGAATTTTTTTTTACAGATTTTTGAATTTCAAATTAGAGATGGCTAAATTTCTTTTTGAATTCCAAAATTATAGATGTGGTTAGATGGCCAATATTTCTATGCCATGTGCATTTCTTAAAATTTAAATATTTAAGAAATTTAGATTAATACTTTTGGAGCTCATAGAACATTTTCAGATGAAAAGTTTATTTTAATTAGGGGAAATTATAGTATAGTGAGATAGAGAAAAAAAAAATTATAAAAACATGTGAGGTGCAAGTGATTCTGTAATATGATACAAGTAAAATGCTCTTGTACCCCTTCATGTTTGTGTAAAAAAAACTTTTTTATCCCTTGGGATATAATTCCTCTTTCATTTTACTTAATATATAGGTGTATACCATATACATCTTATAATTAAAAAATAAATTTGCATAATTTCATACTTTCTGAGTTATAACTTAAAAAAAAATGAGATAACTAAATACAACATAAGGTATAATTAAATAACTCATGAGTCATAATTAAAATAATTATTTTGTAATACCATAGAACCATATGGTATGATCCATAGAACCATATGGTGTGACAATCTAATAGCACATAACATAACATATCTCTTGTTTTTTGCAATACCAATTAAACAAGGGGACCCATTCCCCTACATATTTGAGGCTTTCAAACGAATATATTTATTAGCCTCCGTTTGGGAAGTGGGTTGGCTTTTTGGCTTTTTGGCTTTTTTGGCTATTTTAGCCTGGGCTAAAAAGCTTGGTTTGGGAAGGGCTTTTTGGCTTTTTGGCTTTTTTTTGTGAGAGAAGAGTGTAATGATTATGGGTTGGATGTGATGTTTTGTTTGTTGTGGCTAAAATAGCCTGTTTTGTCTTTTGTGGCTATTTTAGCCCCAACCCACTTGCCAAACATTTTTTTAGTTTTATATTTTTGAAATCATAAGTCATTTTAGGTCTTTGTTGCTTTATTAATAATATAAGGGGGCCTTCGGGTTTGATCTACAAACAAAAACAACAAAGCAGTCACAATTCTCTAGCCACATAGCAATTACTTAGCGTGAATCACATTCGTTTAGTTAATAAGGAACGTTAAAAGATGAAGTATTAGAAAACCCCAAACAATATGCCTTTTGGGAGGAGGAAAAAAAAATAATGAAAAAGAGTCCTTTTGGCAGAGAAAAAGATCTAACCTCTTTATATATATTTACATACAAGTTAATATAAATAAAAAAAAATTGTAGATAATGGACTTGTATGATAATATGAAGCACGTATGGTATACTTGCATGTGCTCTGTCATCCAAACCAAAACAAACAAGAATATACATATTCGTGTATATATATATATATATCATTTTTTGTTTTTTGAATTGTCTAGAGAGTAAGATTTGAGGCCATCCCTTCAAACATCCACTCATTAGGGTTTTGAAAATTAGGGAAAACAAACTAATTCGTTTTCAAAAGTAGGGAAAACAAAGGAAAATAGAGAAATTGAGCGAGAGAGAGAGGACCCATACCTGATCTCGGGGCTGTTTGAAGATAGGCGAACTGCTAGTGCCAAAAAAATGGTGATGGTGGTGCTGTTAGGTGCAAAAATAGAGAGCAACCATGTGAGTAAGAGGAGTAATGGAAAGCAAATACAAAGAGAGAGAGAGAGAGAGAGAGAGAGAGAGAGAGAGACATACATAACAAAGGAAGCCGTTAACTTCTCGAAGCACTGCTGATGCTTGCTTGAAGAAGCGACGCCGGCAACTGTGATGACGAAGGAGAAGTGACTTTGGTGACTGAAATTAAGCAAGAGAATCGACAATGAGGTGCGTGCCTATGAGGAGTGATGCGCGGGACTGGTGCGCAGTACATACAACATAAAGAGTTTTAAAAATTCACTCTAGTGATATTGGGCAATTTTCCCCTACAAAACTATTTGGTCAGTAATTTCCTTCAATTTAGTTACAGAACCATCAAAAGGATGTAGTTTTATAAATTGCGACCAAATTATTTTAGTCGCCAAAATTTTTTGTATTCCTGCTTTTTTTTTTTCCTCTTCGACTTTTGCTGACCAAATTTCAATTTTAGTTGGAGAAAATAATATTTTGGCAACTAAAAAATATTAGTCGGCAAAACTCCAAACTTTTGCCTAACAAATTTTTATTTAGTCGCCAAATGAAAAATTTTTACGACTAAATAAAAGTTAGTCGGCAAAATTGGTTTGGAAAAATGTAATTTCTTGTAGTGTAATGTCATAACTAAATAAAAAAATAGTATAACTTAGAGCGCATATAGTACACTATTTTTAAGAGTGTGTATATTAGAATTTCTTATAGTTATAAATCGATAGATTATTCAATTAGTAAAATAGATAGGAGGGGCCGACTAGCACGAGACAACCCTCTCTTAACATTAATTATGTGAGTATCTACCTATTGGAAAATCAAATACGAGGTCTTAAACTAGCTCACTAACGTTGGGAACCACAACAAGGGATCTACAAGTAACTCTCACAAGTAAGAAGTGTCATTTGAAGCTACCATATAAATTGTTTCTACATTATTTTGCAAAATATTCAAACCTCAAAAAACATTTCTCACAAACAACATTGTTAAGGCATTATGAATATAGAGATAAGGATAATGTAGGACAAATCAAAATTAACTTTATAGATGTTAGAATCTCACTTGGTGACTCCTGCAATGATATCAAATTCTTATTGTGGCTAACATGTAAACTGAAAAATAGAAGTAAGAAAATGCCAACTTGCCAACTAATTAAAAAGAAAAAATATAAATGTATATACATATTCTTAAAAGAAAAATGGAAAAACACTCTTTTGTACCTCTATATTGCCTGTGATGACTTGAAAAGCAAGATCAATGACGATATGGTACTCCATATTACCTCCCAATCCTTATATTTATATAGAAACAAAGTATGTCAAAGGACAAAAAAGAAGAGAATATATTACTTGCTTGCATTTTGATTTAGGAAAAAAAATGAGGAGAGAACAAATTACTTGCTTGGAATCTGATTTAGAGAAAAGGGAGTACAAATTACTTGTTCCGTACATTTAGATATACAAAAAGTGTATCAAAGGACAAAAAAGAAAATTAAAAATAAAGCAAGTTATTGGCTTGGAATCTAGTTTAGAAAACAAAAGCCAATTGAACCAGACATATGGCGTTTAAATTTTGACAACATTTGTCCTACACTTGACATTAAACAGAATTTAGTCCATTGACTAGAGCTCTTCCACTATACTAAGAGGTCAAGAGATTGATACCTCTACTTGTGTGAGGGTCCTATTCGCCTTGTAATCTTCTTGGGTATCTTTTTCCTTCTTTGGGAGTTTATTTGTAGTTCTCTATCTTATAATTGTTAATTCAAACTACTTAAATGTTTTGAGAAAAAATGTAATTTAAAAAGGGTTAACTACACTAATGATCTTCAAAGGGTACGTTGTACTATATTTTAGTCCCAATTTTTAATTGTTCCTCTTTTGTTCTCAAAGTATGTGATTTGTTACATTTTAATCCCTTACGTTAATGTCATTCAAAATCAATAACACAAAAGAAGTATTTTTTAAAAATTTCATGAAACTCAACAAAATCAAAATAACGAATAACAAAGACTTGATGGAATTAATCAAAAGCCAGCTTTTTGTAATTAACAAGGATTCGGTGGAATTAATCAAAAGCCAGTTTTTTGGGAAGTATGTTAAAAGTTAAATTTTTAATTTTTTTGGTTTTTTTTTTGAAAAAAATGTACAAAAAAGTACAGAGCTGGTGTAACTAAAAAAAGCAAAAAAGTCAAAAAGTTGGCTTTTAATCAACTTGCCAAATATGCATATTTTTCATAGAAATTAAAACAAAATCATAAATTCAAGACCAAAATCAAACCAATTGAAATTATAATAACCAAAATGACACAAAAACTAAAATACAGGAAGAACGGTCTCAATTTGACCTTCTTGTAATTAAAATTCTAAGCATTGATATTGAGAGCACTTTTGGATAATGATTTTTTTAGTTGAGCTTTGAATATGAAGTTTTTATTTATTGATCCTTCAGAAAATGAGGTTATTTATTTATTTATTATTATTATTATGTACCATTACTCAAAGAATAAAATTCTTTTTTGGGTCTCTTGATAAAGAAGATTTTTCTCAATTTTTACAATTGAAGACCTTTGGACAAAGATTATTTGGCTGGGATTTGATAAAAAAAAAATGAATTTCTTAGGACTTGTTTCACTTTCAAATCAATTTTTGAGAGTTCAAAACTAAAATTTGTTTGATTTTATAATTTTTTCAAAATTGTTTATAATCAATTTTTCTATCTCTTCTATCTTTCTCTCACATCCTACATATCAATTAATCATTTTCCTCTCTCTCTTTCTCTCACTCTCTCACTCTCATTCTCTCACATCCTACACATCAATCAATCATGTTTTCTGTTGCATCCATCTATTCATCTACAAAAAAAAAAATTACAAATCATCTCAAATTATAAAACTCCAACTACAAAACTATTTTTAAAATATAAAACCAAATAACTTTTTAAATTTTGAAAACTCTTTTAGAAAATTGATTTCAAAACCAAATTAAACAGATCCTTTCTTTTGGGTAAGGGAAGCATTTTTTTGTTGGATCTTTAAACCAAATTAAAAAATGACGAAGAAAATTTTGGAGACTCATCCAATATGGGGACTAAAGCCATTGTTTGAGTGGACTAGGACATGAGTCGGCCGAGTGCTTGACCGTGATGATCGGACGCCACCAGTTGTGGCCAATCATTTTCTATATGTAGTACCAAAGTATATCAATATAAAAGGACCAAAAAGAAGAGAATAAATTACTTGCTTACACTTTGGTTTATCAAAAAAAAAAAGGTACTTTTTCATAAGGAAAAGGATTGAGGCCTCGAATTTAAGGCCTCCAATGTGGCTCGAATTGGTTTTTTTTTTATGACACAGTGTTCAAGATTTTTTTTTTTTTTTTTAAATTGTGTTGGTTTGGTTGTTTTTATTATTATTATTTTTTATTTGTTGGGTTGTGTTAGTTTGATTGTTTTTATTTATTTATTTATTTATTTGTTGGGCTGTTGTAATTTTATTTTTATTTTTTTTGGTTATGTGTAGCGGTGGGTTTAGAGTTTAGGATTTAAGGTTTAGGTTTTTATTTTTTCCGAGTCTTTCTGATTTGAAATAAAAATATAGTAAGGACTTGTACAAAACTATATGGAATTAACAAATTTTAACAAGCAGTCTAACTGATCAGTCAATTTTATCACCCAATCAGTCTAACCCAACTCACTCATTTTATCAAACCACATAGGCTAAATTGTTGTTGTTGTTGTTGTTTTTTTTTTTTTTTTTTGGGCTATGTTGGTTTGTTTTTTTGTTTTTTAATTTAATTTTATTTGTTGGGCTGTTGGTTTGATTTTTTTTTAGGGTTTAGGTTTTAGGATACAAATAAAAACCCTTCCAAAAAAAAAAAAAAACCAAAATCAAACCAACATAGCAAAAAAAACCAAAATAGAAAAAAAAAAAAAAAAAACAACAACTATTCGAGGCAAATTCACGCCTCTCTTTTCAAGGCCTTTAGCACGGCTCTTCTCATAAATCTCTTTTCTTCTATTTATGTTCCATTTAATTCATATTATTTTCTTATATTTCAATAAGTCTCATGAGTGACATAGTTACCACAATACTCCTAATAATATTTACATTTACAGTGTGAATGTTTACACTATCAATGTGAATATTAACATGTTAATGTGAATTTTTACACTTTCAATGTGAACATTTACACATCAATGTGAATATTCACATTGTAAAATATGAATGTTCACATCACCAAATTGTTAACCGTTCAAAAAATATTTAGAAGGGTAGAAATATCTATAAAATACTTTAAATATGAGAATTAGGATTCGATAGATCAAATGTTCAAATAATAAGACTTATTAGAAAACAAGAATATCTTATAGACTAATTAGAATACAAACACTTGAAAAATGATTTTCTAATAAATCCCCCTTAAAAAAAATAAGGATAGAGCAAACTACTTGCTTGCAATCTGATTTAGAGAAAGGGAGAACAAATTACTTGCTAGTTCATTACATTCATATATACAAACAAAGTGCATAAAAATAAAAATAAAAAAATATACAATTTACTAGATTGGAAAGAAAACAAAACAGAATTTTACTAGCCATGGCGTTTAAATTTTAATTTGGGGTGATTGTTGTGCTTTATGCATAGGGTCACCGTTGTGCGGTTAATGGGGTTCATCATGGGCTCTATTTCAATAATTCAAATAGTTTATTTTTTAGGATATATGAAATAGAATATACTTGTAAAAAATCAAATTGATCGGATATTAATAACTTTTTCATCTAATTACATTTGTAATTTGAAAAATGAATGTGATTTTGTGTACAAAACTGAATACAAATGTACTTAGATGAAAGTGCTATCGATATTGATTAATTTAATTTTTTTTAAAATATATTCTATTCAATATACCTTAAAAATTGAATGATTTGAATTATCAAAATAAGGCCTGAAGTGAGTCCAATTAGTTGCACAACAGTGACTGTTGTGTCTTACGCATAGCAGCTACCCATCTTCCTTAAAATTTGGCAATATTTGTCCTTCCGTTAGCATTTAACAGAATTAATCTATTGGCTAGAGCTCTTAAACTGTACTAAGAGGTTAAAAATTTGACTCTGTCCACCTGTATGAGGGTCTGTATTACCTTTGTAGTCGTTTGAGGGTATCTCTCTCCTTCAGGAGTTTATTTGTATCTATGCTATAATTGTAACGCTCCACTTTTTATTACTTGAAGTCATTACCAAATTCATTAACTTAATTCAAATTCAGAGATAACATGCGGAAACAAACTCTTGAGTCCTATGAGTAGAAATAAATAACAATTCTCTCATCCGAATGCAAACTAAATACAACATGAGCATACTGAATAAAATGCCCGAAGGCTTACATCATTAAAGAATCA